CGTCTAGCCCTCACCATCGTTTCCTGGGTCCATTTGAGCTCCAAAAAGCCCCCAATACCCCAGAGCTTTACATACCCCTCCGATCGCCGACTGCCACGCAGCACGGCCCATCTCCGAAAAGGGAAGGCGAGATATCTCACTTGGGGTTACATCGTGTAGACGCACGAGGATCAACCCCCCATCCGACGAACCACAACTGACTACTGTCTTTGGTATCGTGCACCACACATCCGCAAGAGACCCGAACGTAAACCCGAACGCCTTCCGAAGGCGACTTGAGCACAATGGCGGGGACAGATCTGGCAGGGGCCCGGAGCCTGCGAGGTTTACCAGGAAATTCACGCTATAGTTGACTTCGAGTTACCCGCCGACCTCAAATTACCCAGTCACAACTTGCTGTACGTATACCCCATCTTCATGTCTCCCACGGAAGGGGTCGTCGGTCCTCGGCCAGCCAACAGGGGTTTAGACAACAGAGCGGTCACCTAATGGATCCTCTATTTTATGCATAATCTAGCCTTGGCACTGACGTTCCGCTCACGGCACTGGTCTCTGAGGCAAATTGCTAATGTTCGATAGTCTCTTGCGTAACCCTTTCTATTGGCGGATTTGCCCCCGGTGACCTTTGGCAAGTCGATCTCAGTGGCTAAAGCTGCTTCTGATTGGGATAGCTCTATCAACTGCCGGTGTTGTCACCGCGAAATACCCGTCGCCAACTTCACCCAGTATGCCAGAAATCAGTCGGTCGTCCAACCTCCAACGAGTCGCATTTTCAACACCCGCAGAATGAGCTTGTTTGCGTTCTTTCTGTCGTTCTCGGATGCTCAATGCAACTCACTGGCTGCACGCCTCATGTGACGGCGCAACGCTCTGAGCCGCCAGCCCGGCTTGTCTGCTGCCCAACCTCGACCTCACGCGCGACCATTTGATAGCTCTGTTGCAATGCCAAGTCCGACCTACATAACCTCCTCCCCGCCGACCGCTGCATCAACAACATCAATGTCAATCAACTTCCTCATTTTGATGTCGTCGCACAAGCTTTCTGGGATGGCCGATTCATGTCGCCACATGGCGCCATTCGTACTCTCCTTCCCCTTCTTGCATCGTCTTATCGATTTGTCTCGCTCGCTGCAACCAACATGGCGTCTTGGGCTGCATATTCCAAGTTGAACGGTGTTCGCCATGGCTTGGACCCTGTGGAAGTGGATGGATGTCGACCGGGGTGCAGCTTGGTACGTACAGCTTCTCGAAGGAAGCCTCACGGCTTGGCCGCATACACGGCGGTGCCACACCATCGACTGCCTGGATCACCTAAGGCCTTTCATGCCATCTAGATGTGGAAAGCCTCGAGATCGAAGAGCTCCATCGCGGGGATCCAGAAGTATATAACATTCACGAAAAGCCCACGATGAAGGTGTTTTCTTTTCCTCACCACGCTCACCTCTTCTCTGAGATTCCCAACTCCAATCCCAGCATCTCGGTTAATCTATCATCATGGTCGGCTTCAAGCGCTTCGCTATCCTCGCGGCTGCTGCCTGCGGCTTCGCTGCTCCCGTCGAGAAGCCTTCTGAGTTCTCTGTCCAGACCGTTCCCAACGGCTGGATCGTCACCCTCAAGGAGGGCGTCTCTGCCCGCGACCTCGACGGCCACTTGGACTGGGTCAGCCAGCTCCAGAGCCGCAACCTCGACAAGCGTGCTTTCGCTGGTATCGAGCGCAACTACTCCTTCAACAAGTTCCACGGCTACGCCGGAAAGTTCGACGATGCCACCATCGAGGAGATCAAGAAGAACCCTGATGTGAGCTTGAATTCAACCAAACAACCATGAATCCCATGCTGACATCCAATAGGTCGTTGCCGTTGAGCGTGACCAGATTTGGACTCTCTTTGCCATCGTGAGCCAGACCGGTGCTCCTTGGGGCCTGGGTACTATTTCCCACAAGACCTCCGGCTCTACCACCTACGTCTACGACAACGCCGCCGGCACTGGCACCTACGCCTACGTCGTCGACTCCGGCATCAACACTGCCCACACCAACTTCGGTGGCCGTGCTACTCTGGGCTACAACGCTGCCGGCGGTGCCCACACCGACACCCTCGGCCACGGCACCCACGTTGCCGGAACCATCGGCTCCACCACCTACGGTGTCGCCAAGCTCACCACCCTGGTCTCCGTCAAGGTCTTCGTCGGCAACTCTGCCTCCACCTCCGTCATTCTCGCCGGTTACAACTGGGCTGTGAACGACATCACCAGCAACGGCCGTGCCGGCAAGTCTGTCATCAACTTGTCTCTCGGCGGTCCCGCTTCCACCGCCTGGACCACTGCCGTCAACTCCGCCTACAACGCCGGTGTCACCACCGTCGTCGCCGCTGGTAACGATGCCCAGAATGCCGCCAACGTTTCCCCCGCCAGCGCCGCCAACGCCATCACCGTCGGTGCCATCACCAGCACCTGGGCCATCGCCTCCTACTCCAACTACGGCAGTGTCCTCGACGTCTTCGCCCCCGGCTCTTCCATCCTCTCCACCTGGATCGGCTCCACCACCGCCACCAACACCATCTCCGGCACCTCCATGGCCTCCCCCCACGTCGCCGGTCTCGTCAACTACCTCCAGTCTGTCGAGGGCCTGTCCACCCCCGCCTCGATCGTCGCCCGCATCAAGGCGCTGGCCACCCCCAACAAGATCACCGGCAGCCTCAACAGCTCCCCCAACCTGATTGCCTACAACGGCAACGGCGCTTAAGCGTCTCGCCTGGGGCCCTCGCCACGAGGTATAGACCGGGGGCTACCGCGGGGTTGAGGTACGCGACGAGAAGACGTTCCGTGCGTACGCAGAATGCCCCGCGGGCAGTTTCCAAAGGTTGTCAGCTCACTCTATTTTTCAGTTTGCATATGAAGGAGTTGGGATCCCCTCTCATTGAAGGATGAGTGAACGCGCTGGCCTTTTTTCTTTTTGATGATGGAAATGAATGTTTTGAGACTTCATACCCTTTGGGGCCTGTCTTGGTCGCCGGGGTTTCCCATTTGCTGAGATTTGGCTGGGGATGTGCTTGATAGGAATAATAAACTTGATGCATCAGATCTGTTGTCGCAGTGACCAATGCTTGAGTGATGCGATGATCCCGTCGGGATGGGAGGTTAATAATTGACTGCAAGATTGGCAGTGAGCCAAGACCTCCCAGATCCAAGGATTGAGAGATCGGATGCTGCCATCTCGGCGGGAGGGGATAGTTGTATTCATTACTTTTGGTAGCTCTTGGCGATCTGATGATCTTTTAGGGAATGTCTTGGCAATGTGACTTGGCCGATTATTTACTTATTGAGTTGCCACGGTGTAAATCATCCTCGATGTGCTAAATAGCCGCTTGCTTTGGAGCATACAGGCATCTCATCCATGCCCCTCCTTTAAGTGGTTGGAGTTTTAACGTGGCATGATTTTCACACATTCGGATTGCAATTGGGGAATAATAGATCTAGGGGGTTAGTGTGCAAAATTATCGTCTTGTGCGAGGTAGAAATAACTATCTTCAGGAAGGAAATGTGAAATTTCGGGTCAACATGTACCTCTCGCGGGACCTTGCGTCCGGAGCAGATGAAATGGCAATTGCGCCAACTGAGATCGAGTGCCACGGAAGGGTTTCTGGTCACAGGATCTGAAGGCGCAATCAATCCGTCCAGAAGGATAGAATTAGCTACGGGCACAGCTTCCCAATTGGTGGTAAACGTTCCATGTTTGGCTGTTTGACAAGATTTGGTGATTAGTATTGCTAGCCGGGTGTCAGTTGGGCCTTGGCTATGGGCAGTGTGCTCTATAACTCCAATCATAGTCCACCTAATAATTAGACAGGGGCGACGGACGACGACAAAGATAGGCTACGGCCGATGACGATAATAGACAAGGACAACAGCGGCGATATACGGATCTCACGGGTGCGTGGTGGACACTGCCCGGATCCATAGCAAAACTCTTGGTGAATCTCTCCATACATAGGGCTACACAGCGTATCTATTCCACATCAAGCTCCTACCCTTTGCATCTATAACCAGATGTAGACCAGTCTGTTTTATACCTCTTACTCAACCCTCAGAGCATGCCAGGTCAGTGGGCGTCACTGCCCCATCATTCCCGCCTCTGTTTCCAACAAGACCAGCCTCGTGCTAGGCAACCCTTACGCGAGCCTTACAAGTGAAAGGCGTCAAGGATGAATTCGGGCGCTAGGCACAGCGGCCACCCGAGCCCTGACAAGTGGAACGAAACATCCTGCCGGCGGGAGAGGGGCATTTCTGTGGTGTCCTATTCCATCGTATGGCTGAAAATTCATATGCGCCGTCGGTCATAGTCTAGCTCCAAGGTCGACGTGTGAGTGTGGTCGCCACTTACAAGTCTGGTCTTCAATTGCTGGATTGAATCTGCGCGAGCGAAGGAACGGATGGCGTCTACTTTGTGAGTAGAAAGTTGATTCATAGTTGACTGAGTAGGAACAGACGATGAATCTGTGCGGAAAACATGCCAACGGCTCTAGTAGATACGATGTCTGTCACAATACTCCATCCAGTAGCCTCTGCATGTGGTAATGTGGCTGGTGGCTCACCACCCGATCGGGGGTGAAGATACCTCGCTGAAGTATCGGCCAAGAGACGAACCGCTAGAAATTCATTTTTGATACCAAGCTACTTTCTCCGCGCCTCACGAAAAATGCCGTTTGGGGGAAGTGCTATTCTAAAAAAGCAATACTTCCCTATTAATTGAACCCTATTCACAACCTATCATTGGTGTCGATGGAGGCTGCGGTGGGGATACTGGAGTCTTTCTCTAACAGTTTGTCACGCTCACATTCGTTGGCGCAACGCAGTTAGCCAGGATCTTTTGGGAGGGGTTTCTTCACACTCATGTACGGAACCTTCCTCTCCCTCTACTCTGCCCGTTTTTTTATTCTTTTCATTCAGTCCCTTGTGTTTAAAGGGCCCTACACATAATTCATCTCCTTTATTTCGCCACGATGAACGCTTACAACTCTCGACGATACAACAACGCGAACGGGCGTTCCGGTCAGATCGGGAACAATGTCCAAGTGCAGGAAGAACACGAGACACTCCGGAAGAAATGGGACATGTACGAGGGCCGGCTCCAGAGGCACTGGGACGCGCTCGACAAAGACCAGCGACGCCAGTGCATCCTCAAACTCAACGACGGCGAGAATATCCCACGGCACCCCGAGGACTCGGCTCACGGCGGTGTGCTGTCTAGCCTCGTGCCCGAGTGGAACCTTCGTGATCTGACCGATCCCGACGAGGACCGCCTCCTCGACATCATGGCCAACCGTGCTGTCCCGGACCTAATTGACCAGTACAGGGTCAACGACAAAGATTTCATCGAGAGGAGAATGGAGACTCACGAGCTCCGCGTCAATGCGACTTTCAGGGACGCCTACATTATGTTCATTGACAGCGACCAGTACGGACAAGCGGTGCAAATCCCACGCTCCAAGATGAATGAGATCGCGTGGGCCTTCAGAATGGGAAATATGCTCCCCAAAGGAATCGGGGAGATGATCTTGTGCCGCCAATTGTTCCTTCTGCAGAGGCTCAACGACATCGCGAATTTCATTCTCCAAGAAGCTGGAGTTAGTAAGATTCCGCGCAAGCGTCGGGAGGTCGACCAGCTTGATCTCGCCTGGTTGACCCGAACTCTTCTCAGCAACAGAAACTCTCCACAGCTGGCTAGTACCCCTGTGGCGCCTACTGCAGATGCGGCCGTCGATGCACTTGAGCAGGGCATTCAAATGCTCCAGGTTGGTCACGGGGTGCTCCTCAGGCCCAGCCTGCGGCCAAGAAAGTAAAAGAAGACCCTCTCCCGGATCCCAAGGACTTGATTCGCGACCGCAAGATCGCTTACGAGGCATACCTGGATTCGCTCGCGTCTCAGCCGGCGATGTTTGCTCGGGAAGTTGCCGCCTGGTTCCCCATCCGCCCGGAGCTTATCGCTGATGAGAAGGGAAGGTCCCTTCCTCTCAAAGCCGACATGCACGCCAGCAGCGCCGTCTTGGATGCTGCTCACAGTGCCATCAAAGGTACCGTGATCTCGTCTTATGCGGATCAACTACTGAGCCGACCTGATGACGCAGGCTCGGACAAGCTCCGGAAATCCATCATTTTGCAAGAGCTATCGAACATTGCGCATCTTGACTACGTCCGACTGCAGTCTCTACTGAAGAGGCAGTTGACCAGGGACTCTAAGCTGTTCAAGCGTGTGTCGAACGGGGTCGATGCCGTGGGAAACCCCAACATCAAACTGAAGGGCAAGCCACAGGATGTTCAGAACAGCGACCCCCCTCTTCACATCCTTCTCCAACTGTGCCAGCCGGAAACGACCCCGCAAAAGGCACATAGCTGGATTTAACAACTCTCGAAGCTGTACCTCAAGACCGACTTTGACAAGTATGGAGCAACGCTCCAACGAGATGCGTTTGAGACGATGGGATTGCTGTCGTTGAGCGCGGCCGTGAATCTGTCACTGGCACAGAAGGGGCCGGTTCCTTCGCGAAAGAAAGCTCAGTCCTTCGTCACCCGGGCTCAAGAGCTCGAGGCGGAGCTCAACCGGCTTAAGAAAGATCTTGGCCCCGTGCTTACCAAGAAGGCTCTTGACGATGGTCTTATCGACGGCGCATTGGAGCGACTGGACGAGATCGTTGCCGAGAAAGCGGGCGCGAGACTGGCTTTCTTGTACGAGGACCTGATCCAGGACAGCTTCGCGTATCTCTACAAGCAGTATGATCACGCCAAGGCCAATGGCGAGACCGACTGGACGGCACTCGCAGTGGAGCCCCAACAGCCTTCTGAGGAACTGGTCGAGAGTCGCAAGCAGAGGGACAAGTCCCGATCATCTAGCCGGTCTCAACTTGATATGATCTCTAGTGCGAGGGAGCCGGTGCCTGCGTCACCAACCATCGAAGTCGAATACGAGGATATGGTTGAGACGTTCAGAAACTTGATCAGAAAGTCCGAGCCGCGTGAAGCGGTCGGCTGGCCTGCGTTTAATCTGGCGATAAAGGAGTTGGCATTCAACTTGATCCGTACAGCAGATGGATTGAACCATGCATTTGAATCGTCTAGGTTCGGGTGCAAGCTTCTTGTGGTTTCTCCGCCTTACAAGGGCAAATTTGAAGGAGACTCGGCTCTTGTGCTCGGTCAGCGGCTGAACAAAGCCTACGGATGGACTGAAGATACGTTTTACGAAGAGGACCCTGGGAAATATCTGGACGAAACATACTCTAGACCCGACTCTGAATCCGACTGGGAAAGTGAAGATTGAGGTCTCGACGATATTGAGTCGAGCAGCATAGTGTCTGGTTCAATATGATTTTGTATTTGTTTCGGGCATTTGTCGATAATGTAACAGCTGAAGCCCAAGCCGTATTGCCTCGCGTCAATCGACCTCGTTCCAGCCTTCCGGGTTGAAAGGTTTTCATCAATTCATATAATTGAAGTTGTATCAGCTAATGTCTGCAGAAATGGGGCAAACGGTCCGGATCGTGGAGGGGAGCTCCTTCTGCCCTGGCCTGCTTTCCCTGATACCTGGTGACCAAACTTTGGAAAGCGCGGACGGCGAACTCAACATGATGCAGGAACCTGCAATGGTTTGTTTGGTCGCTCCTTCCCAAACCATCCGCAATCGACATTCCGTCTCCCATTCACCCACCGGCCTCAACTACCTTACTCTGGATTCTTTTTCCACACCTCACATCTTCATCGTCTACCCAGCTTCTGCTTTTTTTTTCCGGGTCAGTAGCAGCCATATTCAAGGTTATTTGCCCTGGAGATTCTTGTACCCATCTGTACAACAAACGCTAGGCCAACGGCTGCCCACATGTCCCAGGGGCCTTGGCTTCCACAACGGCCATTCTTCGTCAGATCACCAACTCCCTCGAATGTTTCTCCTTCGACTTCTAACTGTAAGATCATCCTCCTTCGTCAACTCCACATCCTCTCGTCCTGTACACTGACGAGATGAAGGGTCTACTAGCGACTAGCAGTCGGGAGGCGCCCCAAGCAGCTGCTATGGAAACCGAATTGGCCCAGCTCATCGACCTGCCGGACGAGCTCATTCTTCCCATTCTTGAAGTCCTTTGTCGCCACTGCGACGGTCGAAATTGCGGAAGTCACCAGGAGGAACGCGAGAGCCAGAAGGCACTCGTCTCATTCTCAAAGACCTGCTTCCGCTACCACAGGCTTGCGCGACCCTACCTCTTTCACCACGTCTACTTCAATTACAACTACCACGAGATTCGGGAGCACCCCTGGCTGGGTTGGAAACAAGAGCAGATCCTGTTTAGGCTTTTGCAAAGTTTGGCAGGCGACCACGTTCCAGACCCCGACGCGCTGGAGGCTGCTGGCAAGCGGAGCCTTGCAAATGGCATCGATGACTTGGCCACCTCCATCAAGCACCTTGAAGTCAACCTGACTCCCAATCTGCACATTGAAAGTGGCAGGGTCGGTAAGACTTGGAAAGCTCCCAGCCGGGAGACCTTTGGCTTCGACTGGCTTCCTGAGATTCTCAACCGTGCCACCAATTTGGAACATCTCGAGCTACACATGGAGCTTCCTCTCAACAAGCATGCGGGCTTTATACAGTCCATGAACCAGTACGGCCGCGCCAGGTATAATTCCATTAATACCCTCAGCTTTATATACCGTGCCTCCTGTTACGACAAGATCACCGATTTTGACCTTCGAGACACGCACATGATCTTCAACCGCTGCCGCAACCTGGCCACACTCGAACTTCACGGAATAGGAGGCTTGGGCGAACGATTCGCTGAAACTACCTACGTCACCTCCAAGCTCAAGACCTTGCGCCTGACAAATTGTTCCCTCCGAGCCAGTGATTTTGATACCCTCATCGCAGGCATCAAGAATTTGGAGAGCTTCACTCTGGGCCGCGGCGAGCTCCACAAATTCCAGTTAATTGCTGAGTACGGCTAGTATCCCAGGAACACGATCAACGACCAAGTGTTCCCCGCGAGCATCATCGATGGCCTGAAGAACAAGTGCAGCCATAGCCTGAGGCATCTCGAGCTCGGTCCCTTTGAAATGACGCTGTGGCAGTGCATTTGGCACCTGAATCGCTTCGGAACGGAAGCCGAAAAGCTCGAGGCCATTCGAACAGCCACCATTCATACACTGCGTTCCTTCGAAAAGCTTGAGCATGTTCAACTTGCCCAAGACTCTATTCTCGGCGTTTCAAACATGTGGACCTCTTGTTACTATGATATTCCTTTTGTATTGTTGCCGACGTTGCTCCCGGGTGACACAACTACAGAGCAGCGACTCGGCCTTTGGCGTATCGACACCAGCTTGCCTGACCCTGACGGCACTCGCCTAGTCGACATGCTTCCGCGGACCCTCAAGTCTCTTCGCCTTACCCATGTCAACAACAAGCTTGCAGAGAGCTTGCTCACCTTCGCCACCGCCGTCTCCCTCGGAGAGTTCCCCGAGTTGAAGGAGGTATCCCTGCACGGCCAGGATCCTCTCATGGAGCGTTGTCGTTATGGCAACCGCTTTCAGATCGAGTTTCTTTTCGCTCTTGAGCGACACTGGGATTTCTTGAAGGATGAAGTCTTACAAGAGATGAAAGACCTGCTTAATGAAGCTGGTGTCAAACTCTCCTGGGAGGCGATGGGAAGCAATCGGCCCACTGAGGGATGGCCCGATAGCCCCACAGCGATGCTGCGCTCATGTAGCATGTATTCAACTCCTCGCATAACAGAAGAGGACAGGGCATTCACCAATTTCAACATGAAACGCAACGACTGGACCGTCATGCTACAACGACTGTGTGTCATAACAGTCACTGAAACCGAGGAGGAGTACGACGATCACTGGTCGATATGGCGTGAGGACGAGTTGGACTGAGAATTTCATCTAGGCTCTCTAGCGGTAAATGTGGTGTTTTCAACGTCAGATGATGGGAATAGAAGTACACGAAGGAATGGACGGAATAATGATCAATAGAAAACAGCGACAGCGAATAAACCTTTAACCTTCACAAAAGTTGAGTACCTCCCGCCCGATCTCGTCTGTCGCGATCAACCGTACTATCAACATCTTCGTAGCCATGTCTATTTGCTTAAAGGTTTTGGGTCCGCAGTTCGTCTTTCTTGGTCTCTCAACCTGCTATCCAGGTCATTGAAGATAAGTGCCAGAGGCGAAGACTTTGCTACCTGTCAGGGCCGGAGAGTTCATGGAGCTGTGGCCAAGGACGATGACGCAGTGAAGATGATGGAGTGGGAGTGGGTGAGCGATAATCCAGAAAAAGAAGTAGGAGAAGTGAATACGGCAATGGAGGAAGACCAGAATCTACGGGAAGAGGCCTGGGAGAAGCAACAATGGTCATCAACTGACGCATTGGGACTCCAGATCGTGGAATGCAACATGCTGACCATGAGCCCATCCGTTGGACCGATACAAGCCCGAGGTGCGGAAGGTGTGGGTGTCATTTTTCATTTATATTCATCGAATAGGGCATTGCATTAAAAGAGCCCCGATAGCCTTGGCGGACTTTTATGAGCAACAGCAAGGATGTCAACGTTACTCCTCGGAGCGCAGCCTCCGGGCCGGCAAGGGATCGGCGACGGAGATTCGTGGAATGCGCCCCATATTTTCGCCGGCGCTCGGGGAGAAAACGGACTTTGATATTAAAGTATTGGCACATTCCTGTTTGATGGAGACACAAGACCAGGTTGTGAGGAGTTGCGCGGAGTTGTAGGTTGGTCTTCTCAGGTGCGGGCTGAGTTGTAATTATGGAGCTACTTAAGGAGGCATGAAGTGAAGTGTTCTCTTTCAACCTAACAGAGCTTTCTCAACCAAATTTCAACCGCTATCATTGTTTCCATCAGTTCTTAGTGCAAGCTGTGCCATCATGAAGTTCTCTGCCGCTCTCGCCCTCCTGGCGGCTGCATCAGCTGAAGCCCACTGTTAGTCTTCTGCCCTTTAACATCACTCAACAACAGACAAAAGTCTCAGCAAATCAGCCAAATCTCGTATAATGCTAACTCAGTCGATCAACTCAGACACATTCGGTCGCCTAGTGTACGGCGGCACGACCTATCCCGAGTGGCAGCATGTCCGCAAGACTTTAAACTTCTACTCCAACGGCCCCACCGACGGCGTCTCGTCGACGCAGATCCGGTGCTACGAAGCCGATCCCGCGGACAGGGGTACCGTGACCACCATCCCGGTCACCGCGGGCTCGACGATAGGGTTCGCGGCAAACAGCGTCGTGGGACATCCCGGGCCCGCGAGCTTCTACATGGCCAAGGTTCCGTCCGGCCAGACGGCGGCAACCTGGGACGGCAGTGGAGCCGTCTGGTTCAAGATCTACCACGAGCGCCCGACGATCACCAGCAGCGGCCTGGAGTGGGCGTCGTACAGTGAGTGTCCAATTTTCTCAATCATTTCTCCTGTAATTTGAAATTTTTCGGGCCATGTTGTTGTCGAGTGGGTGCGATCTTCGGCGGCAGGGAACCACGAAAAGCATGTGGTTTCAAGGAAAGAGACATTTTAGATTTAGTGGAGAGTTCGTGAATCGCGCTGTAGGGCTGAATCAGTTCGGTGCTAATGACGATTTGTGTCGCAGACACTCAGGTTCTCTCAACCAAGATCCCGTCCTGTCTCGCCAACGGAGAGTACCTCGTCCGCGTCGAGCACCTGGCCCTGCACGGCGCCGCTACCGAGGGCGGAGCTCAGTTCTACGTCGGCTGCGCCCAAGTCTCTCTCTCCGGCGGCGGCAGCAAGACCTTCTCCGGCGTGTCGTTCCCCGGAGCCTACAAGTCGACCGACCCGGGCATTCTCTTCCAGCCGTACTGGCCGACTCCGACCAGCTACACAAACCCTGGCCCCGATCCGATCAGCTGCTGAGGAAAAGAAAACAAAAATGGGGCTCCTGCGCCGCTTCCCGGTACGGCTACCGTTCATCCGCTGTAGTGCAATGAATCAGGGTGGCGGTATGCATGCATGATGCCGATGCCGGTGTCACAGAAATAAGGCTCTCGCTCACCCACCCGCTTAACTGCTGACAGGGGCGGCTGGAACAATCCGGATTTTCTCGGCGTGGCGGACCATCCTCTCCTTAGTTCGCGTCGTTTTTGTTGAGCGTGCTTTTTCTGATCGGTGATTTAGGGAGAAAATTTCCCTGCTTGGGGGGTCCGCGCGGCCCGCTTGGCGAGTTCGGACGCCACGGGAGAACGACGTGATGTCAGGAAATGCGGGGAATTCTACGTCATTAACTGTAAAAAGACGTGGCGCAAGGGTCCGATTTTCGATCGCGTTCTTGCGGCTGGGCTGCGTGTGGCTTCTTTCATTGTCGATTATGACCTGTTCGTTGGGTAGTGACATTTTATTTCCCTATTCTGAGTGATTGACTATTGCTGGTGTGGTCATTTTGAGGTAATTCGGGGGATCTGCTTCGTTGATATTAATGATCGACCCTTGCTGAAGCAGCTTTCGGCTTACTGCTCGCTTCGCTAAGATCAGTTCACCCCTCTCATGACATCGCTATTGACGATAATAACGACAAAGCCGTCCGTCCTTCATCACGACTCTCATCGTCAAACAAGAACGAAAACAGACAGACATTTCGAAGAAAGATAATGAAGATGACGACAGTAACATTGGAAGATTCAGATGCCCCGTGCTTCTCTCACGAGAGCTTCCTGGCTCCGCCGGCTGTAGAGAAGCAACCCTCAGGGATCAAAAGCCCTCATCGGCACAGAAGCCCAGCGCGCCGCTGGAATGGTGATGGCAAGGGAATTCAGGTGGACATCGGCACTCGTTTGCGCGAATATGTCGACTGCTTGAACAACAGCAAATGGAACGTCATCGGAAACCACCTCGCCGACGAGCTCACCCGGAATGGCCACTCTCAGACACGCGAAGAACACATCACCCGCCTCCAGGGTCGGACGGAGGGACTCGCTGGATTTAACATCAAGATCGACACCATGCTAGTCGACAAGAAGGCCCGCGCCGTGGCTGCGAGATACGTCAACCGGATGACGCTGGTGGATGAGAGGGTGAATGCCGACCCTGTCGAGAAGACGATTGAGTTTGACGAGCAGTGCTTCGTGTGGTTCAACGAGAAGGGCAAAATTTCGAGGATTGTGACGATCCAGGACAACGACGGCATTCGCGCCCAGAACCCCACGGCAGAGATGACGCCGAAGTTTCTCACGCGGAGCATGCCGGATAAACCGGTTGATCTAGGGTCGCTGTACCGCGCATACGTCACCAGTATGAACCAGCGCACGATGAAAACCGAGTTTCCTAAATTCTGCAGGAAAGAGCTTCGACACAACAACAGACCATTCGCCGTCCAGGACTATGCACGCAACCTTGACATGAGCCACGAAGTTGTTGCAGGGCTTCGTTTCGAGATCCAGGAGTTGTTGGTGGATGAGGAGACTCAGCAGGTCGCCGCTCGATTGCAACTGACAGGAACGCCGACGTCGATGTTTGCGGGTATCCCTCCCAATGGAAAGGGCATCAAGTTTCACGAGCACTGTATGTACCGATTCGACAAAGGCAAGATCTCTGTGGTTTGGGCGACGATGGAGCTTGACGTTGTGAGGAAGCAGTTGGAAGCCAGGGCAGATCGCAGGAAGTCGTCCATGTTGGGAATCAATTGACAGAGGATGTCGGAAGGTTTGTTGTGAAGGGGGCAAATGTTGGTTACTACGCTCTACGACAAGGGGTCGGCGGCGTTTCGGTCTGTGGGGGAATCTACGCGGCACAACGGGCTATTTTCCAGGGGTAATCCACTCGTCATGGGGACCGATCATCAACTTCCCCTTTCGCAGTTTGTGTTTTAGACTGTACAAATAACATCTCCATCCACATGTTTGAAAGCAATGTGATCATACGCACAAACTTCGAACGGTTTTGAGGCGCCGTACTTGAAAGATTCTACCGACGGGATCCCTCGGGTCGACCAACATTCCTCATGAATTCCGGGTTAAGGGCACCATCAAGTAGGTGGCAGTTCCCGGTTTGTGCCGCCTCATCTCTTGATAACTATGTGCTCCTCTTTAAGATTTCTATGATAGCTACATTTATAATTGTCGATTGTTGATGATGCGAGGTACCTACTCAACCACTCACTCCGACGTAGTTGGTGGTGGTGGGAGGTACCTACATAAATAACCTGGAACCTAGGTATTCAAGCACCCCCAGTCTCCCCAACTCACAACTACCTTCATGGCTCCACTTTAAGAACAACCTCACTTATCAATTGCCCCAATGTCGACACACACACCCATCTCGGTTCTATATGGCCCCTTTTACGACCTTGATGCCATCGTTGAAAGTTTCAAGCAGTTTTACGAGCTGCTTCCGCGAATGGTCTCGCTCAGACCCGAGTGTGTAAAGAGCCCCCCTGAGAATGGATGTAGCGATGACGAACTTCCTCTTGGGAAGTTTAGGGTCCTCGGGTTCAATGAGAGAGTATTTGACCTATGTGAGTGTATCTCGATTTTGCCCTCTTCCTGATCGAAACCAATGGAGTCGTCGAAAACAAAGTACGCTACTTGACATACGTGGAGAGCGAGAAGCCGGTCTACACATCCACGCAGAGCATGAGCTACCTTAAAAATTCACATCTCTTCTCGGAACCCGAAAGCGAATTCGGAATCAAGCAGCCAGTTGTGCTTGAGCTCTGGCCGTTGGAAGGCGACAAGATTCCAGAAGGAATTGTCGCCCTTTCAGGGCAGGCGGACGGGGGCTTAGCTATGTGGTGGCTGCTCGACACCTGCACCGGTAATAATGATGAGGACCCGTGGGGCTGTCTGAGGCTGATTGACTGTGCCTACTACAGGCGAGGTCACTCCTCATGATGCGCACACACACGTGCCGGACGAGGAGATACCCGCGGACGAGCCCTGGCGGACGGATAAGCCACGGCCGGCTGTAGAGTACTTCAAAGAGCTCACAAAGAGTCTGATCTCACTCAAGATAATTCCAATACCGACGCCCATGCCTGGAGGAGACTGGAAAGTTTGGCGAGTGGAGGACTTTGGAGAGGAACGCCGGCACTGGGTTCATATAAGCCTTGAAGTTGGCTGGTGGTTATTATGGGGTTTTGTTGCTGAATTTATGGATTTAGGAAGCTCGGGCTCTCTATTGGGAGTGTGATTGGCCCGACGAGCATCAGTTTGATCGGTCAAAGTGTCGGGGTTTACTTAAGAAGATGTTGAAGACACGTTGGGACACTCTAGACGAGAGAAGTTAAAAGATAAGGGATCACTTATGGAAGGGAATACGTGACTGGGAGACGTATCAGTATTTTTGCTTTATATACGACGTGTTTTAGAAACACCCAGCAGAAGGCTTAGGCTATCATTTCTCTTAGCTTTTGCAGACTATCCTGACCGTCGCCGACGCAGCGAACATCATTCGGAAGGTGGTCAAAAACGTCAGCGGCCAGTCTGACTAGATAAGTGCATGCGTCGTATTGCATGCTCTTCTCGAGATACCTGGTGTGGATTATCTTGCTCAATAGCGAGACAGACTCAACAATCTGAGCGATCCACGGGCTCATTGAGACAGCAGATTCTTCTGAAGAAGTATAATCCTGCAACCCACTGGCGCGCGTTCTGTGAGCCGTCGCGGCCGCCGTATGTATGTTACATTTGGTCTCGGTACCAAACTTGAGCACGTTAACAATCTCGCGCTCAGCTTCTTGCCTTGTCTCTGTTATCTGTGCAAGTAGGTCTGAACGGCTTGCTGCCTCGAGTGCTTCTACCATCTTCAGAATGCCAAGGTAGTGCTTCAAATTCAGTTCGAACCAATTCAGTCGACTCTCTTGGTTCAGAAAATTGAGCCGCCGCTCGCAGAGCCCGAGAAGGGGGCAGATCGAGATATTGTAGATCTCCAATGCGTCTAGAGTAGCTTCCCAAGTTGACAAAAGGCTTTTTTCGTCTACCCCTTCCCTCAAAGCCTCCTTCAACGACGTAATTGTCTTCCATAAGTAGACGTTAGCAACAGAAGCCGCTGAAAGTATCTCAGTCGCTGTCTTGTCGTAGACTTCAAATCCGTTGATAAGCCAGCTTTTTGATTGAGGAATGAATGAGCCAACGAGGAAGGCCCTGGCCAAAAGCCACACGGGTTCTAAGCAAGCCCCTTTCAACCCGGATGTCAGTGAAGCCCTCAGGTTTGAAGTTAACGAGCTTTCAGTGTCCCACACCACTGCCGTCCAGTAGAGTCTGGTTTCTAGGTCTAGGAACTTGGTCGAGACCTGCTCGGCAACGACAGAATGGTGCGAGGAGCCGAACTCTGCCACTAACCCCAGCTCATGGAGGTGATCAAGGCTCCTTCGTTCCCGTAGTCTTTGAATCTGGGAAAGCGCAGTATGAAGACAAGTCAAACCATCGATCCCGTCCATGACCTCGTCATGAGGGATGCCTGTAGGGATCGGGGTCTGTGTGAATAAATACAAGGCCAATACGGATTGATAGGATACTCGGTTGATGACTTTGAGCATGTCTCTTCTGGCAGCGCGCCAGCTTTCTCTGACAAAGTCTTCGGCGGATTTCGTCGGAAGGCCGCCATGGCTTTGGAGGATCTGAGGGGCCCATCGTGCTGCGAAACCTTTAATGGCCGTTCGTAAGAAGCCCTCGATTTGGCTCCCTAGCTCTGCTTCTCCACGGTCAGGTGTCTGTTCATTCCCTTGAGCTTGAGACGCCACCTCCTGTTTCAAGTCACGATCGAGAGTCCTGAACATTTCTATGACCGGTGTGGTCCTGACTTCACTTGAGGTTTTGCTAAGTTTGTCAGTCTCAGAGTCCGGCATCTCCTGGGTGGCTCCTTGGTGATTCTTACACAAGCGGACAGCCATCTACCAAGAGCGCAAGAGAAGGTTCGAGAACTTGCTTGACGATTGATTCAAATGATGTGTTCATATCGGGCTTACTCAGTCTGGCTCCAGGGACATTTGCCATATCTAATACCATAGCAGCCTCTGGCCTTGAACCCTTTTTATTGACGCTCTTCATCCACTATTTGATATCAGACTCTGTAGGCGCACGAATGACAACGCTTCCGATGGTTACTTACGGTGAAGGTGCAAGGTTGTTGCTTCAAGGCGCATCGCGAACACGAACCGCGCCATTCTACATCACCTGGTTGATAGCCACGTTTCGAGGCGTTGCATGCGATTCGGGAACGGCGACAGTTGTCGCAACTTGAATATTGCTTCCTTTGTTTGGAAGATGACATGTTTCTAGCGCTAAAGCTCTAGGAAATCTGTTGCTTGAAATGAAGAAAAATATGGTCAGGTATGCAGTGGCGCTGAAGACAAAAACAGGTTCGTGTTGATCCGACTCGGTATTGCTGACACCCGATTACAACGGCGCTGGCCCCACAACGCTTGGTTGCTTAGAAATACAACCAGCCCATAGTAATGTCAGACGCGAGCAGAAGCCTGTATCTTTGTCAGCCATTATTTCGCCATGCTTTCTCGACACCTGCACTGAAATGTACAAAATCTCTTTGAATGAAAACTTGAATATAAAGATTCTTTTAGAAACATTTAGCTTAAAATTGTGGAAAAAAAACTTTTAACGAAATCTCTTGTTTGTGATTTATGGCAAGTCACATCCAGCTTAGGGAAGTACGTAAATCGTCAACGTCAAAAAGGTGGCAACCGTTTCTCTATTACTGAGTATCAAAGCAAACATGGAAGAAGGGTTGGAAGCTATGTTCCGACTGTCCTGCGGTGCCTTAAGTGTTCACTCCCTAAGATCACAGCTTCCCTAGATAGTCGACCACCATCGAGTGCAACTCATCGTCGCTCATTCCCTTCACACCCAACAAATTGTTGTCTAGCTTGCTAGAGAAATCACAGCCATAAGCAAGAGTCAGCGAACCGCAAAAACAGAACCCCAGCATCGCAGCATCGACATCTGCATCTGAGCCTTTGGCAAGCTCTGCGAGACACTCGCGGCGGAGTTCTTCTGTGTCTTTGACAGACGTACTCCAGTCTATCCCGTCGACATCTTTTGCGTATCCAATGAGCTGGTTTTAGGTAACCAAAGCAGAATGAATAAACACAACGCGGTTCGCAGTCTGAGACCGGTTCCGAATAACCCCGAGTACGGCCACCGCGACATCGGCGAGCGTCGTCGCGCTGAAAGGCACGTCGCCGCCGTTGTACAGTATCGCTTTATGATCTTTAAGATCAACGATGAGGCCGTTCTGGAGACCCCAATCGAGGAAAAGTCCATTCGCAACGGCCGTGAAAGTGAACGCTGGGTTTTCCCGTGACATCTTCAGGAGGTAGTCCTGGACGGCAACCTTTGGAGCACAGACGGGCAACTGCGCGCAGAGAGAGTTGGTGGAATCCATACCGAACTCGGCCGGAATGAAGACCTTGACGCCGGCAGAGACGGCGGCATCGATGAGTGGTTTCTGACCCCCGATGACAAGCGTGGCCAAGCACGATATGACGACGTCGATACCGGCTAAGGCAGGTAAAAGGGATTCGGCAGAGTTGATGTCGACTTCCATGATATCAAGGCCTGAGTGGATAGGCAGTCTTGACAAGTTTCCTCCTTTTCGAGTGAGGGCCGTGACGCGGAAACCAGCGTCAAGATGGACTTTGAGAATGGGGCCGCCAAGGTTGCCGGTGGCACCAGCGAGCGCAATACGAGCGTAAGACATTGAGTATTGGGGCAGGATGTATGATCAGTGAATCAAAGAAGTTGGATGGTTTCGTAAGGTCAAACCGTAAAAGGGTGCGTAGTGTTGCCTCTTTATACTTCGTTAGCTTACAGAATTGCCTGCATTTCCTGACCGGTGGCGAGATTTCTATTTCAGATGTGGATGCCGTCCTCATTCCTTCAGTGAACGATGAATCTTTCGTCCCCTTTCTTCTGCATCTATGGTCCTGGGATACGCCTGGTTCTCGGTTCCGGCTGCCGCTCTGGGGTGGGTCATATCGGTTCCGTCCACCGGCTCCGACACTCGGTACCGATCACTAGTGCGGCGCCGACCAGCAGAACCGGTCCTGGGAAAGGACGGATCAAGATACTTCGAATACAACGGCGAAAATGGCGGCAATGAAGTCAAGAAATTCAGCAGAAGAAGAAGAATAATACAGCAGCAATAACGACAAAAATTGAAACCAGGACCAACAGATGTCTAAATTTTACCCGTTTCATTTCAAGTTAGTTGATCCTTGTGCGTTTTCTTGACTCTGAGCGCAGAGATTTTGGATTGATTTCCTTCGCTCCCTCCTAGTAAGCTTAGAAACAAACCTATCAAGGCTCTGATCATTATGCAAATCTGCGTCGCAATTCACGTTGCTTCATTGAAGGACTCAGGCTCAGTGGAAAGGCGAATACGGCCCTGCGGCCCGCTCCGGGTGGAGACTTCATCATACCAAGAGCGTGCGATTTGCTTTTCTCTTCTCATCACAATCACAGATCCCAGCCGCTTGGTCCTTCGTGGCATGTTCTTGGCTTTCGGAAGAGTTGATTACTACTAGGGTACTGAGTTGATTGGCTGCATTGACTGGGCCCTGGGCAAACAAGAGGGACATGATCTCAGCCTTCACTGAAAGATGCAGCTCCAGATGCGGATGAATTGTTCAAAAGCACGGATCGCATTCCGCAATAGGGAAGTCAGCCGAAGAAGTCCTTCGCTGATTGCTGGAACTGTTGGAACCCCTTTCGATACAGCCGGGGTTGTTGACGCGAGCCCCATCGGCCTTCACGCGAGTGGTCGGGGGAATCAACGCTAGTGTTGGTTCTACTCATGTCGTTCCCCCCTTCTCCTCTTCTCTGTCTTTTCCGCATGTCCCAACTTTATCCATTGACGGTCTCGCTGCTCTGAAATGTAAACTTTATTGCATTCTCGACTGTTGACTCGTCACATGCGGTCTCAACATGTCAAATGAACCGACGCCCTGGGAGTCAGTACCGACTGCAGGGCCGAACGCGACGCCGGGCTCGGATGTCAGGCCACACTCTGTGGCTTCGATCGAGGTCGACAAGGCTGCGCCTTCAGAAAATAGCTGGAAGACTGAACCGGACCCATTGATGTCGCTGTCTCCCAGCATTCGAGACTATAACTTTGAAAACAAACGTCGATATCACAAGTTCAAAGAAGGAAGATACCTCCTGCCGAACGATGACCCTGAACAGGAACGCGAAGACATGAAACACGCACTGGTTGTCAACTTGTGCGACGGCGCCCTTCATAACGCGCCTTTGAATAACCCTCGGAAAATCCTGGACATCGGTACCGGCACTGGGATATGGGCCATAGACAGTGGGTCTTGCTCTTTGTGTTACTCTATTAGCCCGAGGATGCTGACTTGCTAATAGTGGGTGACGAGTACCCCGACGCTGAAGTCACTGGCGTTGACCTCAGTCCCATACAGCCTCCATTCGTACCTCCCAACGTTATGTTTACTATCGATGACGTGGAGGCAGACTGGCTTTACCCTGACAACTCTATCGATTTCGTTCATGTACGCAACATGGCACCTGCTGTTAAAGACTGGCCTCGGCTAGTGGCACAGGCATACAAGTAAGTTCCGCCTAGGTTTCCCACAGTTCCTCAAAAACATGACATATTCCGCTAACTCATGTAGAGCCCTTAAACCTGGTGGATGGATTGAGTTGGTTGATATGGCATTCACGTTCTCGTGCGATGACGGCACGGTGCCACCAGACTTTGCCCCTATCAAGACCATGAACTACCTGAGGGAGGCTCTCAACTTGTATGGCGTGGACATCTACGCCGCATGGAAGTTTGCAGACTACATCAGAGAAGCTGGCTTCGTCAATGAGAGGTTTGACACAAGAAAGGTGCCGGTGGGCACATGGCCAAAAGACCCGTTCATGAAAGCAATCGGGGACTATTGTCGAGCTGTCAACTACGATTCTTTAGGGTCGATTACAAATATCCCTTTTAGAAAGGGCCTGGGCTGGACAAATCTGCAGGTTGAAGTGTTCTTAGTTCAAGTGCGCAAAGATCTGCTAGATGATTCCAAGCACTCCTATAACTACTTTCACTCTTGCTGTGGACAGAAGCCGTTTGAAACAGACGCATAGGGTATAACGGTGTTCTCAAACTGAATAGCAAATTCTCATAATTGCGCAAACACATCCGCACTTTCTACTTCAGCCAACTTCAGAATCGCCGCCGTTTCAGTCTTTGAGAGGAATCCAACACGTACAAGCCTGCGGGTCTGAGAAGGAATGACCGCAGACCAAGGGCACAATTATGAAACACCGCGTGCCGGCAACCGTCTCTTGTGGCATTGAACGAACTAGCTGAAGCCTGCTGTTCCGACATTCGGAAACTTGCAGTTTTATTTTCCTTAGCCAGGCTCGCGAAACTGGGGCACAGGCAGTTTCTAAGCGTCTACAACTGTAAACCTCAAGTTCAGCTTCGTATCCTTTATAGGTGCATCCAACTGGAAGCCTCCATTCGTTCCCCACACGGTAACCTCCTTGATAGCCTTCAACCCCAGTCTGTACTTGTGCTGCAAAAGCATCCAGGCTGTTGAAGCGCCATTGGGGCTGCCGAGAATAGCAAGCCCCGGGTCTGAATCCAATTGGAACGTAATCCGTTCATCCCAGCCAGGCACATTCTGATGCCCTTCCTCGCGCAATGCTTGTATAACAATGTCGAAGGTCTTTGCGTAGACAATATGCGCTTGGAAGATGAGCTTGAGGTTGGTCATTTCGATGCCCATTGCCTCACAACCGAGCCACCATTGAAAGTAAGCAAAGTCGGATAGAGTATCGAGATCGGGAACGTCTCCTTTCTTATTTTGAGACTGCGTGTACTTTGGACTAAAGTTCGAATCGAAGATGAAAGCTCCTGAGGGCGCGTTCACGACGTTGGTATAATGCCCTCCCGTTGGCTAGAAAGGTGAAGTCAAATTAGTAATGCGGTCGCGCTATTTTCGACCGTTGAAGTTCACTTACATCTCCGACCCGTAGATCTGTATAACGAAACTTCCGGTCATGAATTGCGTGATAGGCCATTCCCTTCTCCCTGTCGACCGGAAAGTCGGGATCTGCGAATGATTCGTCCAAGTCGTCTTTGAATTGCGGCCACTCCTTGGCGGGGTTGAAGGGCCAGCGTGCGTTTTCCTGCGTCCATCCCCATTCAAACATATCCTCTGGTTCCCTGAACGGACTGATGATAGAAGCTCCCCCGTTATACTCCTGAGCCTGTTCATTGTTGAGTGGGAAGAGCTCCTTGAGCCACTTCCCCTTCTGAATTCTGCCATTATAATCCTCGGGAAATGAAGGGAATGATGTCTTGACTCGCTTGGTCAGCGGTCCATCAAGAGAGAGTTTGGCCTCTGTCGTTACGGGAGAAGCGCAAGCGAATGTGATAATGCGCAGAAATACCAAGACGAGGACATAGGTGCTCTTTGTACTGAACGAATGAATAGTGTGAGACATTTTGAAACGACACGGCTAGCAGCCGACTGAGGCTGGGAATGGCGCTGAGATGTAAGAAATGATTGTCGCGACATATACAACGGGGGCAGCTACAGAACAATTAAATAGCTTTCGATTTCCATCTTCATTAACCAAGTTCCGCCATTTAGAGAGCATAGACTCATATAACTACTTACAGTATTGGACAGAACTCTATCTGCAGCCATCCCTGCAAAATAACCCGATTGAAGTTCAACAGGCAATCGCCCCCGCGATTGACCAGGGCATGGTCCGAGTTCTACAGAAGTGGCTGACTATCTAGGAAATAAATCACGGATATGCCGACTAATGCTCTATTGTCATTCGATCAATGCGGCTTGGCTACAGGCTCGCTCACTATCCGGCCGCACCTCATGAACAATCAAGATTCTTGCTTCACTCTAAGTGGCTTTCTCCCTTGACATTCTCATATTGTCAGTTGATATTCAAAGTTAATGCCCTTATTCAATGATTTGTTGTCGCAGGATAAGACCTTTGGGTCCCCCAAGGTGGAATCCGAGTTCGGAAATCAGAAGTGGTAGCTGTGAATCCCGGTGAACTCCGATCGCATGCTGATAGAACTGCATCACGAGCTATCAGTTGAGACAGAAAATCACTGAATGTCTCTGCTGCATTTGATTTGGCGGTTTATTTGACCCTTACTAGTCGTGTAGCGACTGTCGGCTCTTCAACCAACCAAAACGGTCGGTGCTCGGGACCTTCTAATTCCCGAATCTAGAAGGTCCCGAATCATGATGCAGGCAAAAGAAGGCCGACACAAGACCATGCACTCGCTGCCAGTGTCCAAGCCTGCGGTCAACATATGCTTACATTTCAATTATTCTGAAGAAGTTTTGACTTGGAACCATGTGAGCTACCTTTTTCACATGGCCGCATATGATCGCTGGTAGGCGTACTGATTTCTGCAGCAGGCAGTTGATGATGGTTACCCAAAGCGACAGAATCACCAATACCTCCTAGAGCAGCATATGACTCAGCCAGTATTATTGCTTTTCGTGGGTAAACTTCACTTCTATACTAGGTCAAATTTCTCCCGAAGGCGCTCGGAGAAGAATGGGCCCCCGCGTGGACCGTTTACAACATGAAGCATGTAAACTACGAGCCAATCTCTCCTTCTCGCTATTATTAGGGACAGCCAAGCTCAGGCATGGGAGGCTCAATGAAGGATAGATGACCGCAGAAAAAGTGACCGCGCCGCCTGAGTCTCTATAGAGACTCGTCCTCTCGGGCGAGCTTCAGTCGGAATGAGGCGTTACTTCACCCTGATTACTGCGCCTCAGTCTGGCTACGTTTACAATCATTGCGTTTCCTCTCGGCTATCAATACAGGTGAAAGTCCGACACTCCAGTGAATCGGTAACAGCGTAGTTCCGCTACCAAATATGGATTGTGTGATGGTCAAGCGCCTTATCGCCGATCTGGCTTCTCCCGACTCGGCCGAGTGGCTGAACAGAAACCAAAAGTGGATGCAGCTTCGGGATGTGGGAAACTTCGGCAACTGGACCTTGGATTTTCCAAAATTCCAACCAGAAAAGAACCCCACGAGGTTTTTTTTGATTAAAGTACGCGTGCTACCTCGCCCACTTAATCGAGATTCCGGTAAGGCACCTCCCGCAGTTTCTTATGCGCACGTGTACGTGGGGGCGGTCCGATCAAGAAGATCCAAAACCGACAAAGAGAGGCCGGAGAGAATTGTCGAGTTGGTTAAGCAAGGGGCCGCCAAGGCTTTAACGGAGATTTTCGGCAGTGAGCATGATAAACGTGGACGTCAGCGGCTTGCGAGGCCACGACACTCAGCCTCGCAGGCTTTGATATAATGGAGAAGAAACAATCACTGGAAGGAGCTCAGAATGGCTAGAACGTAAGGAAGCGGGCTCTCGACGGAGGAAACGATAATACGCATTCAAAAAGGATGCTTCAGCGGTTCTGTGAGAAGATGAAGGTTGGTGAGATGCTTCTAGATTCGGACCATCAGATGAACTAGTGGACCGATCGACAGTTGGGAGAATCCCTGCAGGCAACGGGCCTTAATGCGCATCTGGGGGCATCTAGGCGACGCCTGCCAAAATAAACACCAAGGTAGGAGTGAGTGACAAATTTTTAGCTGGACATCATTCACACCCTGACGCCGTGCTTAATGCATACCTACTACTGAGAACTGTGACCGCTCTTCTAGCCGCCAGTCACTCGCGAAGCCTCTACAGCCCCTTTTTCTAATAAAAAGAAATTCCTTCATGGCGAATGAAAGTTCGTCGCTGATATCATTGTCATCAACTTGTCAGATTGGAATGGCACTCTTCCAAATACCGGATATGGACTGTGGGGCGTACAAAACGACGTCGGCCAAGTCGGAGAACGAGCGGCCGCCATCACCGCGACCATCCGCATATACCTCGCAACATACGCGCCGTGCATGTTACTGAAGCCGAAATCCTTACTTTACGGCTGAATGTCACAGCGTCATACACATGCCGTAGTATCAAGCAAGTCATGGCTCACATGTAGGTTTGCTTTCGTCGGGTTCGCTTGTTTGCCATAGTGATACTGCTAGATGCGTGAGGTTTGATCCACTGAAGCCAGTCTCTGTGCTGAAGCTTGTAACAGCCCCGATTCATTGCGGCCATGTGATTTCAAGGTCAGGGTCTAAGAGCTTTATTTACTGCCCTCTCAGAAGAATGTTTCGAAGATGTGCGCCGGAATAAGGCGATTAGTCGGTGCAAGCCTGCAAAGTCCTGCGATCTCGGGGAAGAAGATACCCCTGCTGGACTGATGGAACGCTGCCCTGATTCAAGACGGGAACTCCCACCAACAGGCAGGCTTTTCTGTTGCAGTTACTGTGGGCTTTTCTAACACTCTCATCTCGGAGAATGAATCGGTGCCGAAGCGGCAACTTTACTGCAACCATTGTGGAGAATTTCCATCGTGAAAGTTGCAGAGTCTACTGCGATTACTTTCAGCAACCCACAACCTCAAACACTCCTACATAGTAGCATAGACTATACAGCAGTGGGGCGAGAGCGAAGCACCAGGATGAAAAACAAGAGGCTATCGAAGAGCCTATCGCCAAGGAAGCATCTAAGACGAGGTATAAAAGAGCCTCCATGTTGCGAGGAAGTGCCAGCTTTTTTCTCAGCAGCAGCGCATTAGCAACAACACTCCTTCAGATTCTCTTCTTCAACTCCCGCAAAATATGCAGGTCGCCGTCGCTTCCTCTCTGGCCCTTCTGGCTGGCCTTGTCCACGCCGTGCCTTTGGCCAATAACACTCCTTCAACCCGCCACTTCGACGGTGCTTGCACAGCGGACAAGCTTACAATCCGAAAGGAATGGCGCAACATGAACCCGACAGAAAGACACGCCTTTCTTGACGCCCAGAACTGTCTGATGAAGCTGCCGGCCAAGACCAATCTCGGCGGCGTCACGAACCGTTTCTCCGATCTTCAGGCCCTGCACCGCTGGCTGACGAACGCAACCGTGCTGGACGGTTACCTGGCGCCGTCATGGGAGGGCGTTATCCCGAACGGAATCTACGTCGCCGACATCATTCATGACGTTGGCCAGTTCTTCCCTTGGCACCGTTACTACATGCACGCGTACGAGATGATGATGCGCGATGAGTGTGGGTACAAGGGCACTATGCCGTGGTGGGATGAGGCCAAGGATGCGGACACGGGCGACTTCTTCCAGAGCGAGATGTGGTCTTCAGAGTGGTTTGGAGGAAATGGCGTCGAATCTCTGGACTGGTGTGTCACTGACGGTGCCTTCGCCAACTACACCGAGCACATGGGCCCCGCGCTTACCGATACGACTTATTGCATGAGCCGTGAGTGGTATCAGAGTATTGCCCAGGTACTGTGCACCAGCGAGGTTGTGAACAAGTGCCATGCTCTCGATGCCTATGAAGACTTCTACGTCTGTGCTGGAAATGCTTTCGTTTCCCCTCACTATGGTGGACACACAGCCGTCGGCGGAATTGTGAGTCAACATTATTTCCACACTTTTTCTGACGTGCACCTAACGCGTTCTTCTTTTCCAGATGGCCGATATCCACAATTCCCCTGGCGACCCGACCTTCTTCCTGCATCACAACTACATCGACCGTCTCTGGTGGCAGTGGCAGACGGCCAACGCACCGCTCAGGTTCTCTGATATGAGCGGCCAGGCTTTTAACTCAACCAACCTCGAGGCGCTTGGTCAGACTGGCCCGGCTGGTGGTTGGCCTAATGCCACCTTGGACTACCCCCTGTGGATGGCGGATATCCTGCCCAACGTCACCATTAGCGAAGTCATGAACGTCCAGGGCGGCCTGCTTTGCTACGACTACGACTACTGAGGTTGAAGCCGAGGTTGGTGTGGCTGCTAAAATATAAAGTGATATATATACTCGTGCACTTTGGAACATTACTTTCTTCATTCATGTACATATGTACTTCCCGCCGTCAGGCAATCGGAATATCAAGTTTTCCTCCCTACATGATAGTTGACTCATTGAGTTCGCTGACGACAACAGTTCCTGGATATGAAGACTGTCTGATGATCCAGACCAACGCAATCAGCACGGCCTCAGAGATCTTCTCGGGCACATCAGGAATGGGGCTGCTCAAGATCAATTTCAGCTTATTACGTGATTGCTCTGTGGACTTTTCCCCGTAAACTGCCTAAAACACTGCCGGACCAATTCGACGGGCTGGGACTTCGAAGAGCAGAGTTTTACTAGTCCTTGAGCACGAATCAATGTCTAAGAGTCAAATATGATGACAGCCGTTTATCCCGATGTCGTGGTCTCTTATGTGACGTATCGGAAGCGCGCCCTGTTCGCCTCACGATCTTCCTCAGAAATACCAATCACCTGGGCCTGCGACCCTCCCTTCATAACCTCAGCAACATCAGCACCCGAGTCGAGCTTCTTATTGGCACGCTGAAGAATGATGCGCATTGCCAGAGCCAAGATGATTGTGCCGAGAGCAAATGCAGAGTTGACCGACATGGCTAACACGTAGCGTGGCTTGTCCGTATCGGGGTACAAATATGATGTCCAGACCTATCGCAACACATTATTTCATGAATTTCGAACCTCAGAAGAAAAGCTTCTTACCTGCGAAATGTTTCCAAACGCATTCACAAAAGCCACAGCTGCCGCACGTTTGATCCTAGATCTCAGCATTGTCTTCTGCGCCCAAGCAAGCACAACGGCATTCGCTCCATGGCCGCCTCCTACCATGAGCATCATGGCGAAGTACCGTGGCCCGACCTGGAGTGTCGATGCAGCCACAACGAAACCTATAATTGCCAGAGCAAGGGGCCACATGACGTGAAACGACGAGTTGTTCAGCCGGTCGGCAGACCAGTTGTTCACGACAGAGATGATCAGTCCAAGGATGTATGGCGGCGCGGTCAGCAATAAGGTGACAACGCGGTTGTACCCCAATGTCTGCACCACAGATGGAAAGAAGTTGGACGTTGCAGCAGCAACTTGCAGACAGAAGAACATGGCCGCAAAGATGTACACTCTCCAGTCCTTGAAGGCGAGCTTGAAACCGTGGCTCCATGCCTCCTCGTCTTCGTCGACTTGGCCTGCATCCTGGATCAAGCGCCACTCAGCAACGGCACGCTCGGTGGGGGTGAGCCAGCGGGTCGTGGAGGGCCAGTCTGGGAGTATGAAGATGGAGCAGAGGGCCACGAAGATGGTGATGGAGCCCTCGATTAGAAAGAGCCAACGCCACGATTCGAGTCCACGAGCACCCTCAAGACCGTCCTTGATACCTGCTCCGATGAGCCCACTGAAGGCACTGCCGAGTTGTGTTGCTGAGAAGAGAATGGCACTGCGGAGACCCATCTCAGAGCGGCGGTACCAGGAGGAGATAAGGAAGAGAGCGCCGGCTGAATATCACCATACTTGTCAGCAAAACATCTGCATGTCATGGAAAAGCTGTGGTGTTTGACTTACGGTAGAACGCAGCCTCGACAAACCCGAGAAAGAATCGCAGCGCATAGAGACCGGCCGCGTTATGTGCAATTCCAGTCAATGTCGACAAGAGACCCCACATTGCCATGCATGCCGGCAGGTAGATTGAGGGTCGAAGATTGGCCAAGAATACGTTCGATGGGATTTGCATGAGGACGTAGCCGACGAAGAGGATGGCAACGGCAGTTGCGTATTGGTTAGCTGAGAGGTGAAGGGTTTCGGCCATGCCGGCGACTTTGGCGGCGGCGATATTGTTCTGCGGTATTGAAACATCCGGTTAGCTTCGAAAGTGTCTATTATGTTCACCCGACCAAGTTGGTTGTCTGGGGCGTCCGAGGTGAGCTGCAGGCAGACAATAAGACCAACTTACACGATCCAGGTAATTAAGGACGAAGATCAACCACACACAGGCAAGCAACCTGAGGTCTAACTTCTTCTTGAGCTTCTTTTCAGCTGCTTCAAACTCTTCCTTGGACATGAGTTGTGCAGGAGCCAGGCGATTTTGGCCATGAGCGTCCTTGGTCTCAATCATGTCGACAATTCCATCGACTTGGGTCTCAGAAACCTTTTCGGGATCCATGGCTGCGGTTGTTTGCACGAACAAGAGTGAATGGATGGTGTTCGGCTTCGGGAACAGGGTTTTCATAGCCCATTGAGGAAGTCTGGTTTCTTATACAAGTCTCTAGCACTCGACAAATCGACAAAGTCCTTCTTCCAGATCAGGGTGAAAACCCTGATTCATGAATCTCCGTAAACTAACAACACGCTACCCCATTACCCCGACTTCCGCGCAGTCCTCAGGTGGGAATCTTCCCCGTCACTCCACAGATTCAGTGGTAACTTCAAGCTACCCCGCATGGGACTCACTCCGGGTTGTCTCCGGGGATGGCTCAAGTCCCACTATCAAAGCCGACACCGTGGGGGAAAGTTCGACTGCAATCTCGGGGTAAACCCGAGCAAGGGTAGAAATGGCATGATGTTACTTGCACTTACGGGGCCCTCTACGGAATTCAAACACGGGACTCAGTTCAGAAACGTCTTGTCAAACCTCAGATACCGGGCGTTGTATGGAGTTTGGTTTACGCTGGGCTCCGAGTGACTTGACACCATCGTACACAAGCCGGAAGCAAAGTTTATTGCGACTGATATGCAGAATATCTAAGTAGCCGAACTGAGGTGAAAGTCAAGAAATATGAACCTCGAGATACTTGGACATCGGCTTCAGCAGTCGGTATCTGCGAGTCTTGGTGCCTGTATCCGTACGTGAAAGGGCGACCAGATCATCGAAGCAAAATAGCTTCTTAGCTAGCATCAGCTTGTCCACCAACAACCGCTCTTCATAAGGACCCCTATGGCGGCAGGTAGCGCTCCTACATTCCCAATCTGAGGCTTGGCTCATGACCTCGTAACATGCTGGCGTTCTCCGGGATGTGGACTCGGACTCTTCCGGATCAGAGCTGCTCAGGCTTGGTCGGGTCAATCGCTACTTGCGGCAACGTTTAATCGAGGTTGAAATGATCGGATACCTGAAAGAAAACATGCAACTGTAACCCATCCCGGAGAAGGTGACTGTATGAGGAATTGAGAGAGCAACCTACTCTATTGGGATGGCTTTGAGTCTCCGAAGGCCGCCTTAGGATGGCGCTTTGGTCTCGTAGGTATGCCGATGCGAGGTTCTCGCACTCCTCCACCTTGGTCCAGCTTCCTTCAGAGAATCGATTGTTCATCTCAAGACCTCACGTCCCCGACTGAAATTAAGCATACTTCAAGGACATGGTTACATTGTTCTTCTAGTGGTTCATTCACAGAGCTAAGTGGCTTACGTTTCACCTATGCCGTCTATTTTGACTACATGTCAAACATCTTCATCGCAACATCTCTTTAAGGGTCGTCGGACATTTGGCATTTAGCGAGATCATTCATTCGCGCGGGGCTAGAAGTCCAAATCACACTGGACGAACAGAAATTTGTTCCACGGTCACATCATATCCATTTGTGGTGAGCCTCTTTCTCAAGCTCTCGCCCCGCGAAGAACGAACTAAGCCCGTCTTCACTCCAAAGGCTTGCTTCCACTGGCAAACACAGCAGTCCTCTCGGTCTCGAACGGCTTTCCCCCATACTTCTTGTTGAGATACTCAATGATGGTCGCAGTTAACTTCGGTCGCAGCTTTTCCTTCTGCTCCTTCGACCAGTACCTCTCCGTGACCCCCAACTCAAGGCCCTGCAACACGGCGCAGAACTGCTCTGGCGTCTCAAACGTGATATTCTTCGTGATGGTCTTAGCTTCAGCGTCCACGAATCCGGCGGCATTGTACATGGCGCATGTAAAGTACTCGTCCTCCCACGCACCCGGCGACCAGATGCGGGTGAGCTGGTGGGACTCCTGAGGCCATGGCACGGCCTTCTGGCCAGGCAGCCTGAGGTCCGCGACCGCTTCGCGGGTGGCAGGAACCCAACCCTCGTATGCCCAGGTAGATGTAGCGATTCGGCCACCAGGCTTAAGAACTCGTTGTAATTCTGAAAAGGGCTGTTAGTGAGCTGAAATGCTGTAATGTCTTCATCGAGTCTCACCAGAGAGCCCGGTGTACGGATCAGCGACTACCATCAGTGCCATTCCGACGACAATGTAGTCGAAACTGTTGGACGGAAAGGGAAGGCACTATTGGCAGTTTCAGTTCTGAGCTCCACCCGGGTAAAGTGCACGTGTACAAGTAGTTGAGAAGAGGCTGAGGAATTTTTGCACATCCACTTACTGCAATGTCCGCGTGAACGGTTCTGGCATCGACCCAGCCATCCACCTTGATCCTCTCTCTGACGTATTGAAGTTGAGCCTCGCTGGAGTCAGAGCATGTCAGTCTCACGACGCCGTCCTTCTCTCTTCCTTGTTCCTTGATCATTGCTTGGATGTGTGCGGAAACTACTCCAGCTCCGCAGCACATGTCCAAGACCTCGACTGGTTTTTGGAGAGATGCAATCTTTTTGCCGGTGAGCCCACAATGCTCTAGGAGAGGCGGGGTGACTGGGGCCGTGATGTACTCCGTGTTTCTGTAAATATTGCCAACGTCGGTCCTTCGCCAGAGACTTGTGTGGTTGGCTCTGTCTGCGGGTGGATTGATGCCGGCAGGGTTGAGGAATAGTTTGGACTGACCAGGGGCGTTGGGCCCAGCTGCCGAGTAGGATTCCATGTTGAGTTTGTGTGAGATGGTTTTTTAATAATGCGTTGATGTTGTTTTCTTATATCTTAACTTTGAGGGCGAAGAATATGACCTGAAGTACTGCTGTAGATCGTGGGCAGGATTTGAATCCTTTTATACTCGTATCACAGCTATCCTCTCTCCACAGGCTCTCAATCTCAAGGCAAAGTCTATCTGCGAGAGCGAAGTCATTGTATCAAAACATTACCAGGTTCAATAAGCAGAAAAAGCGCCAACAGCCAAATCAGTAAAATTTAACAAGGACGACTCGGCCGTATTCGGTAACCATGAGGCTGCACAAGCTTCGCCCAGTCTGTGTCCCAGTACTGCGTAGACAGCGCCGTAAGATTATGGTTTAACGTATGTAGGGGTTGTGCATTAAGGCTACAGGCAACCCACCATCTCTACATGTGACAAACGTGGGAAACTGTGATGTGTGATGGAGAGAACTAACTACTGGCGCTAGGGCGCTGGAGAGGGCTGTATGGCAGCCTCTGGCACTCGCTGACAGTCCACAGCAGTGGCAGCGGAGTGGCAGGGCCCGTCAACAACATGTGCTTTCGTCTGAAGACTCGGAAAGCCTGAGCCTAAACCATATCAACCACTAGCATTCGCACCATTACGTCGCCATGCAAAGGCTGTCAACTCTGTTAGCCCAATCGGGGAGGTGCCTTCCCGGTGTAAGCATCGCAAGTCGCCGTTTAGACGCCCGCATTATTGGCTGGTGGTGATCGGCCGTCCCTCGGTAATGTGCTTGGTAGCAGAGAAGCGTGATGGTGAGAACCGAAGAAATATTATAGGAAGTTGCTTCAAGAAGGGCATCTTAGGCAAGTGATGAAAGATCTTCAACGTGTTGGTCTGTATTCTGACGCTGTTCTAGAGACCACGAATGACTTCGTGCATTCCGTTAGCGACATTTCGCCTCCGAATGGGATCTGTGCGAAGCAATCGCTTTTCCAGACAAGGGGTAGAGTTTGGTCTGGCAGAAGGGGGGATACAGACGTCAACCATCATGCTGGAAGTCCCCGAAACGCTATTGGAGGTGGGCTCGGTCCTCGGTATGCCCTACGCGCGGTCTGCCTACCGCTATTTGGCCCACCGGTGAGGCCGAACTCAGAGCCCCGTCACACGAAGTGTCTATGTCCGTCAGTATTCGAGGTACAAACACTAGATTTTGGCCAGTTATTGTGAGGCTAGACGGGGGCGATACCAGCCCAGCCCTTTAGAGGTCAAATGAACGTCCAACCTTCGGCTGAAACAAAACCTTTGTGCCGGAGTCACCCGTTTGTTTTTTTCCGTGCACATAGGAGTAAACACCGTAATCCACCATATTTAATACTGGTAATGTCAGAGATGTCCAAAGGCCGTCAACTCGGAGCCGGTCCATTTGAGGCACCAAGACGGCTTCGGAATCGTTATCGACAGTCGAACCTAATTCATTTTTAACCCCTGCCTCATCCCACACGGCAAATCTTGAGGTCGGACATCGATCATGGTTTGTGGTCAGACGTGAACCTTGCGGTTCCCCGGAACGAGGCCCGGATACCTGGAAAGCGATCGTCGTCGCTACTTCTAGGCTAAGATTGCCCTCCCGAGACTCTAGCCATACAACCAGACCTTGAACCATGATATCTATCTCAAGCCTGCAATTCTCTCATTGCCATGTGAACTTGCGCCAAACTCGAAGTTGCATGTGCATTGCATGGCCTTCAAACAGCACACCACTTTTACCGATGCATAGCGAGGGTCAGAATCGAGTCAATAGTGGTTTGTGTTCTGTCGACAGCCCGCGGTATCGGGAAATATTAATAATCTCCGACCACGTGCCAGAGTCTAAGGAAGGAATGTCCTTGGGGGCGGCAAGACAGAACATGGAATTGTGCCGAAGATCAAGCAGCTATAACCACTCTCACTGATTTAAATTTGGCAACATATCCTAAAACAGTCACCAGACGCTTTCCTTGGCAAGAACCCTCAAATGAGCTTTCGTCTACTCTGAGATTACATGATAGAGATGAAAAGCGACCTGGCTGATTCTCGATACCGTAGCGTTTCCGCAGTCAGGATTAGTTCAACTGAAAAAAATCGCCAGAAGGCTATGATCAAATGAGGAGTGATAGCCGACGGGATTGCCGTATGGTGCGGAGATCAGAAGTCCGTATTTGCCGGCCCTTCATACGGCTTCTTGCATAGACCTGCTGGCCATAACTCCAAAAGCGGAGGCGACATTGCTCAAAAAGTATTCTTTTGTGGTCATCACGGCCTAGTTGATACCATCCGATCAAATACTAGTTTGAAGTCTGTGAAATATCCTGAGCGAACGTCGGCGGCCGCCGGCCGGGGATCAATCGCGAGTCTTCCTGCTTTTCCGCCATCGCCGGCGGGACATTGACGCTCAGGCAAAACAAAAGACAACATATGTCTCACCAGCTAGGAGATCTCGGGTTCCTTTCCAATTGACAAATACTGCAAGTCCCGAGGGAGGCTGTCCACGATGCAGATAGACCTCGATTTAAGTGGAGGTGTAGAGAAGCACCAGTCTTCCTCATGAGACGAATATGAGCTCCTCGCAGAGCTCTTTGTCGGCGGGAGATCGACCATACAGGTGAACAGATCCGGACAGCAATTCGGGACGTTCGTCGGGTGTACCTGGCGATTACAAGGGTCCCATTCTCCCTAGACCCGCAAGGGGCTGTCTTCATGTTGACACCAGCTTTGGTACCAAATCAATCCCTGATCCGCTGCAAATTCCCAGATATCTGGGTCGCCCAAGCTGCGTCCCGAGGAGAATGGTATAATTGGCCAGGCTCATCGAAACACCGGGGCCGTGAAAACCCACGAACTCAAGCCCGAAGACATCAGTCGGGTGCCGGGGGGATGGCCGGTGACACACGGCCTCGGAGGGCAGAGAAAAACGGCCGGCCGGCAGATAAGCTACCAAATACACCGAAGCAGCCAAAACCTCCTCATGAGACAAGCTAGTACAGCAGTGTGTCCTGGAGGAGAAATTTTGCTGAAATCGCACCCTTTTCTTACCGTAGCGCAGGGGGGTTTTGAAAAGCGACTGAGCCAATTAAGCTATCAAGGCAGTCGCGCTGCGAGATGCGACCACAGCGTGGAATGGGTGGAATGCAAATGCTGTAAAGCCCAATGGCGGTATCCCACTTCGCATACTTTCCGAGCAAAGTTTGTTTGCAGATCTTGTTCATCGGACTTCTCGGCGGCGAGGAATCAATAGAGTTAAATGTGAGAAGCAGAATCCCGCCAATGGGATGTTTTTCCATCTTTAAAAGATGAGATGATTTACACCGCTCATGGCTCCAAGCACCATAGGGAGCAGTGAACAGTTAAGGTGATAAACACAGAGGGAATGGCAAGGCCAGCGAGGAGAAAATTACAAAATGCTAGATGAATTAAATGGCTAAGTCTAGATGATTGATCAACTCAGGGGCGCATGATTATGGCTTCGCAATGTTCCGAGCCGTCGCTTTCGACTCAGTTGCGATCTGGCTGGCTTTCCCTCTCCACAAGTCCATTCAGCTACCGATGTGGAATTGTATTACATAGTAATTGCACTAGGCCACGCAGAGAGTGTCAGCCTATGACTGCGCTTAATAGTCTCAGTATCACACCACATGAGGTCATGCAGGGAGAAAGAGTCCAGGGCTGAGCTAAATGGTCTCAGACATCCACCACGAGAGTTCATATATGGATTCCATAATTCAGAAGAGGATGTATGCCAATTGCCAAATATGGCAGAGGCTGAAGATCTACGCGGCGTACGTAACGGGCGTGGTCGTCCTAGGGAGATGGTTTTCATGACGCTCCTTCGCGGCTGAACGGGCAATATTTGGCCCGAGAAGCAGAAACTAGAACATAAATATTGAAAGGCAGCCCAAATTAGTTTCTGGTGCCTAGTTCTTAGCCTGTGTTCCTGGCGATATGGCCGATGTCTCGGTTGCCTTGCATAGTCACGGCCCTTTAGGGTGTGCTAAGGGATCCTAGAGAAATGGTTTGCATATTCAACACAGCCTGCTTTCAGGATAAAGGCCTTGAACCGCTCCCGTCCTTCTCATTGAATTCGCACTTACCACCGATAAATCTATGTTTTTGAAATTAGCAGCTCTCCGCCAGTCGTCGGAGACTAACATATCAATCATATACGAACACTCGTTAGTGTGGAAACGCCGATCGCCATCTCTATGGAGAAAAGTATCTCTCTAGCCATATGGAGCGGGGAAACTGCCAAAGCGATAGCGCTTCTGAACGAAACAGCAGAGGCGGACTTCCCACGCGAATGCACAACGGCTCTTCTTGCTGCCGCCCGTAAAGGGAATCTAGAAATTGTCACAGAGGTTCTCAAGATAGTGGCATGCATCGAACAATCGGAAGTCAAAGTCTTTACGCAAATGCCCTCCAAGCTGCCGCTCTAGGGGGGCACATGGACGTGGTAACAAAGCTCTTCGAGAAAGGCGCAGATGTCAATTTTCGAGGAGGGGAGTATGGAAACTTACTCCAAGCTGCTGCTGTGGGAGGAAATATAGACGTCGTGGTATGGGTCATTGGGAGAGGGGCAGACGTCAATGCTCAAGGGGGACCTCACGAAACTGCGCTCCATGCTGCATCAAGGATTGGTTCGAGTGAGGTTGTGACGAGACTTCTCGCTGAAGGGGCTCGTGCAGACAGACAAGACGTCAACGGCTTTTATCCCCTTCAAATTGCTCTTCAAGAACGCCACCCCGACATCGCAAATCTCCTTCTCCCAAAAAGTACAGCCTTTCTGGCCTCGATTAAAGCATCTGACTGGAGACACTATTATGGTGACGGCAACGATCACGTGGAGCTGTACTTCGACCCAATTCCGGCGGTCAAGAAGATATCGGAAAAGGACCTTCGCAACAGAAGTTATCCTTTCGACGCCTCGGCAAGATTGACAGACTGCATGGTCGGAGGTTGCCAAGATTTCATGGCAGACGATATCGAGTCTAGTCGAATCTTGTGCGTTTCCTTGCTACACTGACTGATGCTCTATTGCTGACGCTTCCGAGTCAGCCTTCTTGCGAATGGGACACCCCTGAAGATGCTAAGAACCGGCTATCGTTGTCGTTTGTGGGAAAGGCAACAAGCTCCCACTGCGGAAGAACCAAGATCAGAATGGCAGGCCAATGACTGGACTGTGGACAGGAAAGCACGTCTGTCTCAACTTCCGAAAGAACATTGTAAGTACTAGGTGCCAGCAACATCTGCCTACTAATGTAATAAGGTTTCGTTGAATGCCGTTTCACCACCGATTCTATAGCGTTGACTTTCTCAGACACCACGAGTGTCCATCCTTCCAGTTCTGTTCCGGGGATAAGAGACACCTCAAAAGTCCATGGTCTTTTATGGATCATGACGAAGAGCGACACCAACACGACCTCACAACCATTTCTGGAACCTAGAGCCTTCTTCACCACGTCAGAATACGCACAAGAACCGCCCCGCGCCTCTGCGCTCCTCGTTCCATTAATGGAAGAGTTGCAAAGCGATTGGAAGAGGACCTTTGAATCGGCACAAGGTCACTTGTCAAAAATGGTTTGTTAAGCCTTGAAAAAAACAAGCCGTGCTTACTTGCTGCAGCGTATGAGTTTACTCAAGGCAAGAGGGTTGAACAGCGGCCTGATCCAGTCCTTGTTGAATGATTCTCTACTTTGGGATCAAATCGAGCAAGCCTGTAGGAAGCAAATGTCCGACTTGAAGGACTTTCAGCAACGGTATTGGAAATCAAGTACACCTCACGAACCGGCAACTGAACGCACACTTCCCGGGGACACCCAAGGCCCAGAAGAGTCGGACTTGAAGGCATTTAGTATGGAAGTAGAGAAACTACAGGCCTTTCATGAGTTGGAACTCAAGGCGTTGAAAGGATTGTCTCAGAGCCTCATTCAATTGGTATGTAGATGTCCCTCTGCCGTCTTTTGGTGACCCTGGACTGATTACGAGAAGGAGTTCAATCTCACTTCAATCGCAGAAGCTCAAATGACAAGATCGAACAATACGAGTATGAAACGCCTTAGCTGGATTACGGTAAGTTCCCACCCAACTCAGGCTCCACTTACTAAGGCCTCATCTCGTAGTTCATTTTCCTTCCGCCCATGTTCGTTGCGGTATGACGAGCGTCCTTCCTTGGCATTTGACGAGACTAATACCCAAGGACATCTGCAGAGTGTTTTCGGCATGAATGTTGATGCTTTAGCATCCAACCCCCCTTGGTGGTGGCCTATCGTTGTGGCTTTTCCCACCGCACTTCTTGCCCTCGCCGTAGTATTCGTCTTGAAACGAACCAGGCATGTAAGTTCGCCACTTACCCGCTGCTTGTATAGTTTCTCTCCTGCTGACCCTTGACGTGCGGCGAAAGTCTACATTCTTAGACCCTGAGGAAAAAGGGAAGTCAAGGTTGTCTCCTAGACGGCTCTGGGAGAGGTTTTCCGATCACAAAGAAAATAGTTCTTCGACAACGGATATGATGTAATCTTGTTTCTCGTGCCCACAAGTTTGGGCTGTTAACTGAAATATTACATGCGAAGAATTCCGTCTAGCTATTTTACCTCGATTTGAAATGAACAGCAGTAATTGTGTTCGGCTGAATCGATTCGGACGTAGCGTGACCACCTGTGTACCAAACCGCCCGGGCGAGTAAATAAACCGGTCCAACAAGGACATTGTGCGTGAGAACGTGTGTGCAATAAATGTTCAAACATGCCCGCGAAACCACTGGCAGCCGCTGAAGATTCATGCTCCAGTCATATGGCGTCCAGTTGGCCTGGTCATGGTCATAGAAGTGCAAACACTTGCGGGGATTCTCGAGATTTCAAGGGCCAACATGGATGTCGGAAAGTTCGGAGGGGCAAGACGTGAACTGAAATGAGAGAGTAGGCATTTCGTTAGAGAACCTCTTGACCTCCTTTCTCCCCCCTTCTACTGGGAACAACCTGGAAAGTATCCATCGTAACTTTCATCCTTAGGGCGGAATAAACCATCTAGGCTAATACTAGAACGCCCTGCAAAAATACTTACCTATACTTCATTATGTCAAGCCCAAGAGAAGACCGTAGCATCTCAATCACCTTCCTTTGTGCGTCATGAATCGACCTTCATGTTTAAGAAGAGGCTGGGAGGTTTGAGGCTCTGAACATGACACGGCATCCCGTTAGTGGTTTCTACCCTGGCGCTTCCTCAGGGTCGGTCGTGGCAACGAGCAACCCGACAACTGAGCGACGTATTGGAGCTCTTCGCCTCAGGCCAGACTCGATCCGCAGAGGTGCTATCGTCATCATCGAAGAGAAGGAACATCTTCCTCTTCTGTGATGACATTTAGCCACATTGTACCGTACCAGTAAACAACAGCGTACATAGAAAGACGAAAACTCGATCGCAACTTTGCCTAAGATCTTCCTTCTCTAGGCTACTGATAAGCTGCAATCAATGTTTGTCCATATAGAAATAGCTCGTGTCCTCAAATTCATTGTCTGTTATAGAACGCGATTGCTTAGGACAGAGGACCTCGTCGAGACTCCTAAGCGACCGGGTCAAGCCCCACTCCCTCCCACCTCTCTCCTCCTGGAATCGGCGAAACGTGCCCATGGATGCTGTGGACAAGCCACAAGACGAAGAAAACGGTCATCAGCGTCGCCGGCCCGGACCTTGAAGTTTGCACAATACAAAAGGTGCCGTCGTGAAGATGTCAAAGGGCTGGGAGGTTCTTGCTACGACGTAGTGCCCGCCCCATGAAGTCAAACGAACACAGGATAACCTCGAAAAACCCACGGGGACTTACCGAGTCGCGACGACATCCGGATGAAAAACTCCTGTGGAATGGCTTTCTTATTGCATGTTATATTAAATATCGTAGTCTCATGGGGAATTATTACAGTCATGAAATTCATCGTACACATTGACTTCGACATCGCCAACAACCAACACCAAACATCGCGACGGCCTCACCTCAGCCCTTAAGAAGCACCCAAAAATAGCAACCTCCACTACCACACCACATGGCAAACCGTACGTATCTTGCCCTTAACCGTCCATAGATACTAATTCCTCTTTTCTCTCCTGACGTCATACCCCTTGCTTAAGACACTAGCCTCACGAGCCTCACGGGTAGGTCACTCGACACCACCAAACCAAGGCAGAGGTACAACCAGGTTGCCCACACGCTGAACCCGCCAAACTCACCTGACACGGTCAGTCGCCCCGAACGTCCCGAACCCGCCGTCACGGATAGCACGTCGCGCGCACGCGACGTCGCAAACGGATCGCAGGATACGGTGCGGCATCGAAGCGCGATCTGGGTTAAGGGCTGTGCTGGGTTATATTAATATGAATAGGTCACCCTAAAACGAAAGAATGCGAAACAGTCATGTTAGTTGTGCGCTGCGCATATGATCAGTTTAAAACGAAGCAAGGCCAGGAGACAAAGTCATGTAAAACGGAAAACGGAAATTTACGAGCTCATGATACAGTGTGGGTATGTACACTTGGTGAAGGACATATATATACAGCGGCGCCGCTGCAGGCCGCCCTGCACTTGATATGACTCTCAGTCCAGCCCTCTCCTGCGTCCTTTTGCCGCCAAGGCCCGCGCCCCGCGCATCGCGTCGGGCTGCGGCTTCTGGATACGGCTCGACGCCTCTTCAGGACTCCGCCTACTACTCATCATGGTGCTGCTACTACTGCTGCTGGTCTTTGCCGGGCTGGCGTCACGACGGCGATGGTGGGGTATCTTTGGTGAGGAACTGCGAAAAGAAGACGTGGGTATCGAGCGAAGCGAAGAGTATGTTTTGCTGTCGAGGTAAGACGCCGCAGGTGGCATGCAGGACGTCTCCGGCTTCGGCGTCGGGGTCTCTGAGGACTCCATCACGTCGTCGTCGAAGACGTCAAAGGGTAGTTGGGTGGTGGGGAACTCATTGTCGCAGTCGTCTTCGTCGTCGACCGCGTGTTCCGGGTAGTAATGGTAGTCGGGTTGTTGCTCCTCCTCCACGGTGGACTCGCGCGTCGAACGGTTTTCGAGATCGGAGATCGACGTCGTCAGGGAGTCGGGGTCTTCGGACTGGGAGGTATCTTCCTCGTCGTCATCGAGACACTGCAGAACCCTTCCTGCGAATCTGCCGGACTCTGATCCTGAGAACGATAATGTTCGCGCGGGAGTGAGGTTGTGGAGGACGTATTCATCGTGGTCGATGTCGATGGGGGAGGATGCAGAGGTTTCGGACTGCATGGTCATGGAGCGAGGGGAGGGGGGTAGCTCCGTAGTAATAGCAGAGGACGAGATGGAGGTGGAAATAGACAAGGGTTCATGCGTCATAACAGGCTTTTCGTCGTCATCGTGAAAGAAGGTAGGGCCGCCGTCCTCGTCGACGCTGCTCAGATTGGTGCTTGTCGTGCGGACGCTGCACCCATCGCTGAAAGAGGACAAGGTGGAGGAGGCCGTGTAATAGCCTTGATGGCTAGAATAGTCGTCGGGGAGGTAGCTGGAGAAGAGGCGCACAAGGGAATCGAGCGAACGCGTGCGGAAGAGCTGCAGGGCGTGGGACCACTGAGCGGTGCCGACGAGCTTGGGGCTGGCGATGATCTCGACTGCAGCGAGGTCAAGCGACGCGTTGAGCTCCTTCAGGCGCTGTTCCTTGCGACCGCGCATGAGACGGTGGAATTCGTCGGCGGTATCGGCGAGGCGGGATATTTCATAGACATCGTGGTGGAAGGCGTCGGGGTCCTGGATGCTAGAGGGGATGGTGTTGTATTGGTCTTGCAGCTTGGTGGAGAGGTCATCTCTCTTCATCCCAAACTTCCAGAAAGGCCATGCTTGACACGGTTCGTCCATGTTATTGTGGCCGAATGGTGGATGGAGATGAAGATCGATGCGCGTGGAGAGGGCGAGTCGGAGTCGTGGGGTTGATGCAGAGGTGGTTAGGAGGGCGGAGGGTGACGGGGTGAAGAGTCGGGGGGAGGCCGTGGGCTTCGGTTTGGTGTACTTGGTTT